AAGAATGGCTTCTTTGCAGCCACCCTTCCACTGAGACCATTTCTGATGAGGCTTCAGTGAACAGTAGATGGATCAACTGAAGACTCAGATGCCTCTGTCGGATCTTGTGTCAGATCTTTGCTGGATTTTTTCCCGTTTCTTAGCACATGATGACAGAACAAGATACTGTTCATCTGCTGTAGGTCATTTTGTAGATCTGCCACTAGTTTATTTATTTATTTATTTTAGAGCACACTGCACAACATGCTGATATATTCCAGGTTTCTGGCCAGTAGCCAAATGGTTTGGCAATTAGCCATGATTTTGGAAATAAATCATCTGTTTTACAACAGGCTGCTAGTAACAAAGTGCCTAAAGATACAATTTACAATTGTTTTGTAAATTTCTTTTCTGTAATTTTTTTTGTTATGTATGTTTGTTATGTTTTAGTTATGTAGTTGGCCTCCTTTTTTATGTTTTAAAGATTCATAGGTCAGTGTTAGCTGGCTTAACAAACAAAACCCCTCCTCTAGAAATGATCAGGTACAAGGACTGAACTGAAAATGGGTGTTTGTCCAGAGAGGATTGTGATATACTGAAGTAGGAAAAAAAGAAAATAAAAAAACCCACAAAAAACTAAAAAAATTCATAGTTGAATTTTGTGCCAGCATTTTGGATGACAGCGTAAATGTTGTACCCCACTTCTCCACCTATGACAGCTGGAATAGGCTCCAGCCATCCCTCTGTGACCATGAACTAGATAAATGGATGGATGGATGGATGGATTGTTATGGTTGGAATAACCAGTAGGTGACGTAGAAAATAAGTTTAAAACTGGAGGTTTAAGACACAAATGTTCCTGTTTCCCAGCACATTCATCCATTTTGCCAACACTCTGGATATTTTTTAAGCACAGTTGGGTAAACACCCACTCAGCAAACTACGAGTGAAGTCTCTTGAGGAAAGAAACCTGTTGGATGAGATGTCTGAGACATAAGTCAATGAAAGACACGACGCAGAACAGCAACTGAAACATTTATGAGACCAGACGGAGTTGAAAGTATATTTTTCTACAGTACGGATTGCATTCAAAGAACTTTCTATGTTGTAAGTACTTTTACTTACTTGTGTTTAAAGAATCCGTTCATGTCACCTAATTTTGTTTTACTTTTCTTTTTTTTTTCTTTTTTTTTTCTTTTTTTTACAGTAGTTGCAACTCAGGGACATCTGTGCTAACAGTTATTTAAATACTTTGGGATTGCGTCCTGATTTAAATGTCACCCATTGTCTTGTTTAATCGCGTCACTTCTGTCACTGGCAGGTAGAGTCACGATGGAATTTGCTTGTGGGTTTGTTTATGTGCCACCATCATTGAGTCAGAAGGAGAGACGCTATCCAAACATCACTAAACGCTCAGGTATGATCTCAGTCAAACACCGGCATGCATTACCACAAGGAAAATTTAAGTTATGGAAGTCATACTAATTTTTTTAAAATTCAGATGTTACATTCCTGTGTCA